TCTGGTCAAAGGGCTTCTTCATCCATCAGGGCTTCCTTTCCCAGCAAGAGGAGAGCCAGCCCAAGGGTTCTTTTGCCAGTCATGGTGGCCAACCTGGCACTCAGGATTCAATCCCATGCTCTGGTTTTGGCCATGCCAAATCTAAATGAAACCTGGAGGGTGAGCTGGTCCTCACTGAATGTCTCATTGGCATGAAAACAACCTTTGCCTTCCCTCCCTAGCCTGGGGGACAGCTAAGGACTCGGCTTTCCCTAGTGACCCCACTCTCTGGCTCCTTTGTCTGGACACCGCCACTGCCCTCCACCTGAGTGTTTCTGATGTCTGAGAGACGCATGCTTTGCTTGCCTTGGGGCTCCTCCTGTTTATTTTCACTAGTAATGCTTCCCTGAACACCCGGACCTTCCTCTCCCCGTCATGTCACGCTGCCCGCAGACCACTGAGGATGCTGTCGGGTGGGGAGTCTCTGCTCTGCTGCTTCACTAATTCCAGGTTGATTCTGCCCGGGCCATGTGCTCACTGAGGATGCTGTCGGGTGGGGAGTCTCTGCTCTGTTGCTTCACTAATTCCAGGTTGATTCTGCTCGGGCCATGTGCTGTTCTGTGGTGGTCTGAGGGTGGAGTTAGGGGGTGCTCGAGCTGAGAGATGATGCTGGCTGTGTGCCCCAGAGGACAACAGGCACACGGGGCTGTGAGGAGTCACCTGGGTCAAGGAGTCTTCAGGAGCCCTTAACCTCCAGAGGAATCTGAGCAGATGAGTGCATTTCCTGAGCACCCACCACGGCCAAGTCTGATCTGGAACCTCACGGCCACATACACCATGGCAACACACAGAGAACATCAGGTTCTTTGATCTCCCACCTGGTGCACACAGGCCAGGAGTAGCTTGTCCCCCGACCGCTGCCACTTCTTCTCCCCACCCTTGTCCTCAGAGCACAGCCAACATCCGGTCAGTTAGATATGGTTCTGGTGCCCATCTCCATCTTTCCCTCTCCCCAGCTCTATTTTTGGTCTAAGTCATCTCAGGTTCTAAGGTCAGGCTGCTCAGGGGTTAAAAAGGGCTTTCCTTACTGCTCTTTGATTTGGGACAAGTGACTTCATCTCTGTGGAACTAGAAAAAAGAAGTGTCTCGGATTCTAACTCATCCTACTTACTGCATGGCCAAGCAAGTGTGTTCCCCCCCCCCTCTCTCTCTCTCCCTCCCTCCCTCTCTCTCCTCTGCCACAGTCCCCTGGCTGTGTGAGGGATGCTAGAGACACAGTGAGAATATGGAAAGCATTTTCTTTCATTTTTCAGGACACAGTCTCATAATGCAGCCCAGGCTGGTTTCAAATTACAGCAATCCTTCCCTTGTGGACTCCAAAGGTGTTGTCCTTTGGAGGGAAGATTCCCTGTTCATCAGGGACTCTGTGAGGAGGACTGAAAGTGGCTTTCCAGCTGGAGTTGAGGGCAGTCTGGTAGCAGCTCAGGGAGCCCAGGGGCAGCAGAGGCGGGGCTCTCTGGGAGCCAATGAAGTAGTGACCCAGAGCTCAACTTCCGTTATCTTCATATCACCTTCCTGGTCACTAAGGCATCTTTTATAAAGGTGGTGACCCTAGAAATGCAAGGACGTCTTGAGAACATCACAGTCTGGTGCAGTGGTTGTCTGAAGTCATCAGTCACTGTCCAGATCCATTGTCACCCCCTTTCCCCTGTATCTGGTACTCTGGTATGAGTTTCTTTACTTCCAAGCCCCTCTCTTCCCTTATAGCAGGGTCACTATAGATGGTGGAGCAGGTGGCTCTCAGCATGCTGCCTGCCCTGGGAGCACGGAGGTAACCTTCAGGCCAGCTGGGAGGCTTCTGTGAAGATCACAGAAACCAGTGAATGTGCTAGCACAGAGACAGGGTGTCACAGGGCTGGGATGGACACTCCCCTCGTCCTCCAGATCTCTCAGCAGGAGGCCTGTGGATCAACAGTGAGGATGAATGCTGACGCCATCCAGGAGATGGAAGTTCTTTTTTCCATGGTAGATTCTTGCTAGGTGGATCCCGAGGAAGCCTAGGATGTCCCTCTGAGGCCATGCAAGGGTCCTGTTCTCCATCTCTGGCTTCTGTCTAAGGCTTGGAGCAGGGCTCTGGTGGCAGCTTCTCCTGTTTCTTCAGGAGCTGAGCCAAGTGCAGACCAATGTGTCTGACACCAATGTGGTCTTGTCCATGGACAACAACCGCAGCCTGGACTTGGACAGCATCATCGCTGAGGTCAAAGCCCAGTATGAGCTGATCGCCCAGAAGAGCCGGGCTGAGGCTGAGTCGTGGTACCAGACCAAGGTGAGCAGAGTTTGGGTGTGAAGGTGGTGGAGGGACCCTCCTCCCCTAAAGTGGCCTAGCCCGTGGGCCCTTGGAGTTCTGGGACCTGGCACACTCAGCTCTTACAGGACTTCCAGCAGAGGGGGGGGCTCTTGATAGTCACTGACACCTTTTCGGCCTCCAGTATGAAGAGCTGCAGGTGACAGCTGGGAAGCATGGGGACAGCCTTCGAGACACCAAAAACGAGATTGCAGAACTCACTCGCACCATCCAGAGACTGCAAGGAGAATTGGATGCAACCAAGAAACAGGTGGGCCAGCCTGGAAAACCCCAAGTCTGACCCAGGAAGATCGGCCTGCTCCTCTTGGGAAGGGGCTCCCAGGACAAGTGACCGGGGTTCAGAGAGGGGAAGGGACTTGCCAAAGGTCACAGAGTGTGTAAGTGCTAGAGCACATGGGATGACCTTCAAAGCGGTAAGTCTAGCCCATCTCCAGGATGTCAGGGTGCAGGGCAGAGAGTTCTATGATGCAGACCCTATGTAGGTATGACCAAACAGTATGGCGTCTTCTTTAGACAGAACAAGGCACTTGCTTGGTAGTAAGGTTTTATTGTTCATTTTTACTTCATCCAAAGCCCTGGGGGATCTGAAGTGATTAGGCTTCTGGGTTTCCTCAGTTCTTCTATTAATTCCCTTTCAGTTACAATGTCTTCTATTTTTTCCAAGTTGGCTGGGTGGGGTGTGGGGCTCCTGGCTTGAGAGCAAAGGGATGAATGGCGTGACCCTGGAAGGTATTCCCAATACTATTTTCCTGTGCGCAGTGCCAGCAGCTGCAGACCGCCATCGCGGAAGCGGAGCAGCGTGGGGAAATGGCGCTCAAGGACGCCAAGAAGAAGCTCGGAGATCTAGACACAGCCCTGCACCAGGCCAAGGAGGACCTGGCCCGGCTGCTGCGTGACTACCAGTCTCTCATGAACGTCAAGCTGGCCCTGGATGTGGAGATCGCCACCTACCGCAAGCTGCTGGAGAGCGAGGAGAGCAGGTGGCAGGCCCCCTGCTCCTCTGCAGGCCTTGGGGAGACCTGGAGTCTGTGGGTGGGGCAGAGGGTGGTGGTGGTGCTCTAGGGTGTCTCCTCCCGGCTCAACAGCAAGGTTTGCTTGGCCAGGTCAGGCTCAACTCCTTCCGTTGGGAAAGACAGGAAGCTCTGTCCTTAGGGATGCTGGTTGTTGTCAGTGTCTCCACAGGAAGTGGGAGTGAGGGGAGTCTTCAAAGCCTCATGCAGAACAGCCTTTAGGCTCTGCTGGGAGACCTTGGGTCCTAGATTGCGGCATATCCCTACTAGTCACGGCTCTGGATCTTGCCCTCAGGCCCTGGTATCGAGCTGGTTGCACATAGAGGCAAGGGGAGGGAGGGAAGGTTTAAACATGGGTTTCCACATCGCTGACCTCTCCGGACTTTTGTCTCCCCTAGGATGTCCGGAGAGTGTCCCAGTGCTGTTAGTATCTGTAAGTATCTGCCATCCTTCCCGTCCCTCCCTGCCCTTTTCCTCCCATGTCTCAGGTCCAGGCCCCCTTAGGGCTCTTCTTCGAGAGTCAGGGTTAAAGTGTCGGGCAATGTGAGCCTTCAGCGGTTTTGCCGCATTACCCTGCTCCCGTCCTTAGGGGGTTTCTGAGCTCCCCTTGCCCATTCCTGGCTCGACAGCTCTACTAAGCCAGAGCCTTTGCTTTTGCAGCTGTGACCGGCAACTCTACCTCAGTGTGTGCAGGCGGTGCGGCTGGCTTCGGGAGCGGCCTCTCTCTGGGCGGGGCTGGCGGGGCCAACAAGGGCGGCTTCAGTGCCAATGTGAGCTACGGCACTGCCAAGGGTGGGCAGGTCTCCGGGGGAACCTCCATCCTGCGGAAGACCACCACGGTCAAGACCTCTAGCCGGAGATACTAGCAACAAGGCTTTGAGGGAGGGGCTGGGCCACGGTCCTAGCGCTGGCCACGCCTTCTCAGGACCTCGGAGGCTGAGTATTTGTGGTACACAATTTACATAGATTTGCATTTGGGAAAGGGCTCAAATATACTCAGATTTTCTCCTTGGTGATACAGTGGGATGGGAGGGAGGTTAGGGTTACTAGCTGGATGACTTGAGGGGTGAACTGACCATTTAGAGGAGGTAGGATGTCCATTTCTACTCTTTCATCTTAGCAGATCTGCTCTGAGTTCAGGGCAAGCTGGAGGAGGAGACAGGAGGCAGTGGTGGTTTCCAGAGACCTCCAACCTCCTCAGCTTTCCACCAGAATATCTTGGTCACCTTACATCCTAGCCCCTGTCTGTGCCTGTGATGTGTCAATAAACAGCAACTACAACAAGCCTGTGACTCCAGTCTGTCTCTGGGGGAGCTGGGATGTCCTAGGTGCTAGCCTAGTGCCGTCAGCAGACTCCTACACTCCTGCCTTCAGAACCAGGAAGGCTTTGGTTAGCTCCCACCTTCTGCCATTGTTAGCTCTGGGAACTTAGGCAGAATTCTGATCTCCGAGCCTAGTTTCTTCCTTAGTACAAAGTGCAGCTGTGAGGGGGCATATGCAAAGCACGTGACTTAGGGAGCCCCTCTCCCCAGACCTCTTCCCTTCCCTTCCCTGGACCTCTGGATTCTCTGCACACAACTCCAGTGATTTTTCTCCTAGTTCCCCTCATCTACCCACCAATACAAACAAACACACATTTAATTGTATCTGTGCTTTATAGATATATTAATTTGCTCCAGGATTCAACAGGGACACAGGGCTCTCCATTTTCTAACTCAGGCAATGGAGGTTCCAAGGAGTTAGCTTGCATGTCCCCTGTAAGGACAGATGAGTGGTGGTTAGGGTTTTTCAAGTCTTGTCCCTTTCCTACTGAAGTCCCCCCCCACCTTCCCTGCTTCCTGTCTCCTAGGTCACCTCTTTTCCTCTTCAGCTCCCTGCACCTCCCTCCAACATGAACCCCACTCCTCACTGACATGCAGCAGGTGGAGGCCCAGCTATCTCTTCTCTGTTCCGTCTTGCCCCACAGCCTGTGCTCAGTCAGAGCCTCTCCTCTTGCCTGAATGCTGCTGGGCACTGTGTGCTCCCCAGAAAACTCAGGAAGGTTGGTGCCAAGGTCAAGGAGATACAGGCAGAGATTCTGAACCAGCCAGGGACACAGCACCTTGACTTGGCAATCAACACTCCCGACACCACTGAGCTCTTCCTCCAGGAGCTCCTTATGCACTTTTAGACTTTTAGGGAGAGCTTAGGTGCTTGGATTCTCTGAGAGGCTAACCCAATCTTTCGGACTGCCCCATTTCCAGATGAGGAAAACAAGGCACGGTGTGGTTAAGTAACTGTTTTGGGCCACAGTGCTGGATGTAGAATCCAAGAGAACACTGCCCCGAAGCCCAAGTCCCTCATTAGGCTATGACACCCACAGAGGAAAAGAAACTGGTCGGCAGTCAGTCCAAACTGCTACTTCATGGGAGAGAAAGGCTGCAGCTGCTGTGGGGAGTCTGGAGGGAACACCTGTGCCTGAAAGCTACAATAAGTTAATGGCAGAGTCAAAAGCAGCTCCACTGAAGATACATTGAGGGCCCGGAAGCTGAGCAGTATAGTTTTACCTAGTTTGGCATCAAGCTTGGAAGTGACTTTTCACACCAGGATCTTTCCCATGAGGCACTCCTAGTTGAGGGCTTCGGCAGGTGGGAGGGAAGGCCGGCTAGCTGCAAGGGCAGGACTTGTGTGCCACAGCCTGGCTTCTGTGTCTGAAAGCTTCAACAAGAGTGTTTGGCTGTGGGAAGGGTTGAAAGCCCCTGCTGGCACCTGCCAGGGGCAGGAGACTGAGTGAGCTGATCCATGGCCTTTTTTGGCTCTGGCTGGAAGAGCCCTACCTTCCTCCCAGCTCCCTGGGGCTTCCTGAAACACTGGCCTCTGATCCCTCTGCTGGCTCCGGATCCCTCAGAGTGACTCAGGCCATGGGGAAATTGAGATTAGGTGACCCAGTGGGGCCAGGGCACCCACCTGACCAGGGAAGACAAGATATTTTCCCACACTGCTCCCCAGGTTGGAGCTGACAGTGACAGAGGCCTCAGGAGCTGTAATCCCAGGCTGAATGGGAAGGCTTCGCCTCCTGCACTCAGAAAGCTCTGGAGGAACACGCCCTCCCACTCCCGTTCCATGCCTGACAGCACCTGGCTTACTCCTCAGAGCCAGGCTTGGGCGGGTGGCCAAAGGAAGCAGGGTCACCAAGGACAGTAGCAGAAGCAAAGGCTGTGTGTGCACGGGGCTGCAGCGGGAGTGTGGGGCTGGTGTTCTGTTGTCACCTCCTGGTGGATGCTTGTCTTTGCCTGCATCCGGTGTAGAAGGGAAATAACTTCTCTTTGACTCTCTTACCACAGGGGCTAGACAATCTCACTTGGGAAATTTTTGCTTGTGCCTACCTGCCGTTTCTTACCTACAGGTTGAGAATTCTGTGAAGTCTCTGCAATTCTGATTTAACAAACTCACAGGCTATATGTCGAGACCAAAACATTCTTCTTGTTTGGGTTTATCATAGGAGTTACAATTACATTAACTTGGATTTAGCTAACTGGAAGGTACAAGATCGGCCTTTGAGGATCATGTCATGACTTATTGGGTACCTGCTGGGATAGAGTCACACTAACCAAGCCGCCAATCATACAGAGTAGGGACAAAAAGAAGCTGAACTGGAGCAAGCAGAATTTCCCCACGACTCTGCTGCTGTTCTGGTGGACCATCAACTGTGGGTGGCTGAGACATGAAACAGTGTGCAGAAAGGTCATGGGCTTTGGGGTCAAGCCTACAGTGCTGACTTCTTATGCCCATTATTTTTGAGTTGTTGGATCTCAGGAGAGAAACACAAACCCTTCTGAGCCTTCAACATCTCTTTGCTGCAATGGCTGAGAAGAATGAAACTGTCCCTAGAAGAAAAGTTCCTGGTGTTCAGCATATGACAGACATTCTGAGAGTTAGTTGCTTCTACCCAGAATGTACTGGGTTTCCCTCTTCTGCTTTTTCACCGAAGGGATGACCATATGCTTCAAGGAACCATTAGGGAGTCTTCAATCATGGCTTTGTGATTTGGATGACCCCAGGCACAAAATGAGGGTGGCTGTGTATTATGCGTCATTTTCTGAAAATCCCCTCTAGTCTTGGCTTTTTTTTTTGAGACAGGGTTTCTCTGTCTACCTTGGCTATCCTGGAACTCTCTCTGTAGACCAGGTTGACCTTAAACTTACAGAGATCCATCTGTCTCTGCTTCCTGGGTGCTGGGATTAAAGGTGTGGGATACCACTACCCGACTCTGTCTCTTTTTTGTTCAGTACTTGACATGAGCATGCATTTCTGTCATTTTCTCCTAAGTTTGGAGTATTATAGTTTCACATACATGACCTGGGGACATGCCATGAGTCCCCTGGGGTTTTATCTGGCAAACCCCTATCAATGCCTGAGCATGTGGGGATGTGTGTAGATGGTGACATGTGGGGATGTGTGTAGAGAGAAGAGCAGAAAGAAGGTGGCTCTCAGAACACCTCCCCCCATCAGGTGGCCCTTGAGATATGGAGTTGTTGTCACTTCCCTGCCAAGCCACACCTACTCTCAGACTAGGGTGGGCATGCACAGGTCTGGATGCTAGTGTCCCATAGCCCCCTTGTCCTTTGAGTCACGGAACTTGGCTCAAAACTGGTTTCCAGCAAACACTGGGGGCAGAGGGGCAGCACCTGTCTACTCTGCCATGCTCACCTGCTCCAGTATTCTGGGCATACCAGGGCTCCAGCCCTCCCAGTCTGCGTTCCAGCCTTCCCAGTCCCAGAGTAGGTTCACTGTGGCCAGCTGGACAGTGGCAGAGGGCAGGAGAGAGCTTGGAGGACTGCTAGTTGAGTTCCTAGACAGTCTGGTCTTCTCTGTAGCTCCATTCCTAAGGCCTGAACTATGCTCACCTCCTGCCCCTAGTCCCCAGGCCCTACCCTGAGTTCTTTGTGTATCAAGGAAGCTTTTGGGGGAACATGTTTCATTGACATGGGGTGGTTCAGTCTTGGAGGGTTATCTTGGTTGCTGGTGACTGCTGCTTCTTACATCTGGGTCATTTCCTCAATGATGGATGGAGGAGGGGACACAGATGCATTGGATTTCTGAGTGCCTGGACAGGATGAGAATTGATGTCTCTTGGCTTCCTATGTACTGGGCACCTTGGGAACATTGTCTTATCAACTATGTAAAGGCACATGTCTTGTTTTACTTATGAGTTGGTTGGGTTCAGAGTCAGGTGACCAACTTAGGGCAGCATAGCTACTTAATGAGAAATGGGTAGAGTCAGATATATGTCAGTTAGGAGGAACCCAAGTTCTAGAAGTAAAACTAGAATTTTGCATCTTACACATGGTTGAGAGGAGGGGCCCTGAATTATCACCATTCTGCCGTAGCAGTATCAAGCATCGAGTATGTTAAGTCTTTCTTTCCAGAATTCTGGATCACATTGGAAAAACCAAATGTGCTATATTTTAGGGAAGCTCAGTGAGCTCCAGGGTGGCTGCAGGCCACATGGTGAAATCCCAGACAGAATCTCCTTTGGGTCTTTCTTGGAAAGACTACCAGACTGGAACTGTAAGAGAAGAGCCTTGTTTCCCAGGTGAACACAGGGCCAAAGGCACATGGAGGGTAAGAACGATGGATACAAGGTCTAAAAGCTGCTGTGACAGCTTACGGAGCACCCATCCACGATCACAATCTCACTTGTCTTTAGAGGAAAGTAAATATTTGCATTCTTCCTTATTTACGAGTACAGAGGCTGAGCTCAGAGAGTGGCTTGCTCCGGTCAGGGTGTGTAGCCTGTCAGTGGCAGGCTGTGCCCTGGAACCCAGGTTCTTAGGTCCCAGAGTCTGTGGCACAGAATTATGGGTGACAGGGCTTTGTGTCTGGAGCAGGAGCCCCATAAGGTTGTTCAGGAAGGTGGAAGGGCAGTGGAATTTTGCAAGGTTGAGCCAGGTGGGCCGTGATGCAGGAGGCCCTGGGGCACTGGCTCAGGAAGGGGATGGGACCGTAAGCCGTGCCCTCCCAGTGACTTCTGAAGGTGTGTTTAGCGACATGCTCAGCAGGTGCAAGAAAGATGGGCCTGTGCCAAAGGCCCAGCCCAGGGATGTTTCGGATTTTTCCCTTTATGCCCCTGAAACCAAGCCCTGCTGCTCCAGCCCATATAAGCGACAAGGGCCAAGGGCTCTGGCATTCACGACCTGGCCCTTCTGTTCTACGCTCATCACAGCTGCCTTCTCTCTCAGCCATGATTGCCAGACAGCAAAGTGTCCGCGGAGCCTCCCGGGGCTTTAGCAGTGGCTCAGCCATTGCCAGTGGGGTCAAGCGGGTGGCCTTCAGCTCGGCCTCCATGTCTGGGGGTGCAGGCCGATGCTCCTCTAGGGGCTTCGGCAGCAGGAGTCTCTACAACCTCGGGGGTCACAAGAGTATCTCCATGAGCGTGGCTGGGTCCTGCCAAGGAGGTGGCTATGGTGGTGCCGGAGGCTTCGGTGCTGGAGGCTTCGGTGCTGGAGGCTTCGGTTCCGGATTTGGTGCTGGTGGCTTTGGAGGCAGCTTTGGAGGTGGCTTTGGAGGTTCCTTCAATGGTCGAGGTGGTCCTGGCTTCCCTGTCTGTCCTGCTGGAGGTATTCAGGAAGTTACCATCAACCAGAGCCTGCTGACGCCTCTTCAGGTGGAGATTGACCCAGAGATCCAGAGAGTCCGCACAGAAGAGCGTGAGCAGATCAAGACCCTCAACAACAAATTTGCTTCCTTCATTGACAAGGCAAGTGAGCCTGAGATGTGCAGAGGGTGGTGGGAGTGAGGTCTGGACCCTGGGTCATCTCATGCCCACTTCTGTCTCTGGGTGAAACCTCTCATTTCTGAGGCTGCTTGAAGCGCTGAGGGCATGCTCCTTGCTTTTCCTAGCCCAGCTTCTGGTTTCATGAAAGACTGGAGATCCCATTGTGTAGGCTCGACTGTGCCCATGCATCATGGAGTCTAGTTACTCAAAGATCTACAGCCAAAGACCAGTGTGGTGCTCCTGCCCATGCTGTTCAAGGTGGCTGTGCGTCAAGGTTTTGGTTCCTTTAGGTGCTTAAGGCAAGAGTGAACCACCTTGAAGAAGTTGTGGGGGGATACTCGCTCTTCCCACTGGTTTGAGTAAGTCTACAATAGCTGGTAGAGGTTTTGCTGTGACCCCAGGGATATACTCAAGTGATAGATGGAGAGCTCTTGGTGCCTCCTTGCTCCCATCTCCTTTTCATCTCACCCCTTGGGCTTAGAAGGTGGGACTCTCGTTTATTGTGTACAACATGGAGAAGCTCTGCTAGGCCACTCATCTGGTTGGCCTGGCTAGGTGCTCTAGAGAGGGAAGGCCCTAGGAAGTCCTTGCCAGGGTGGATTCTAGCTGAGTCTCAGAACATGTGAGGACTTAGTTGGTACAGATTGAGAAGACAAGGATTTCCTGTGTAGATCATGTTGACTTCAAACTCGTCATCCTTTCGCCAGCCTTCTGAGTGCTGTATCATACAGGCACACAACCACACTTAGTTTATTTTCAAAGTAAATGTGTCTGTTCTTCACTGTGGGTCGGGGTTCCTTGAATGCCAGCAACTGCCACCTGTGCTTGTACCTCTTGCTCTTATTTGATTTGATCGTTTCAAATCAGACACTTCTGTTCTCTAGCTCTGCAACCCGGCCCTTGGTCTGCTGTGGTTAGAAAGCTGTACCTTCTGCACCATCAATCTTACATTGTGTTCTCCAAGCTACGTGTCCTTCAGGCAAAGATGGGACCAATAGCATGCTTGTCATGGTGGTGTCCTGGGCTTGCTATGTGGTGGCCCAAGCTGGGTGACTCTTAGGTGGTCTGGACTACCTAGGCTGTTACTGGCCTTAGACACCCTCCCGCTGAAGCTTCTGGCCTTTACTAGCGGCCTGCGTCTTTTTTTTTCACACAGGTGCGATTTTTAGAGCAACAGAACAAAGTCCTGGAGACCAAATGGAACCTGCTCCAGCAGCAGACAACCACCACATCCCCCAGAAGCCTGGATCCTTTCTTTGAGACTTACATCAATGCCCTGAGGAAGCATCTGGA